CGCGATGTGCCAGAGTGAACTCCCACTATGAACCGTGGTACTCTAGAATTCAAACAGAGTCCTCCTACGGATAGTGGCTTTCTCGGATTCCACACTTTTGTGACCTGTTGTCTTGTTACTTGCTCTGATCTGAAAGCTTTTCAGGTCAATTTTTGACGCTCATAAGATCTGAGAGTGGCCAAGTGCACCTAATTGATTCGTATTGTCCGCATTTAGGCGCCAATTTTAACGTGGGCGGAAAGGTGAGTAGCCAGAATTTTTCAAGCAGAATCCTTCTTTTTTTGAGGTGGATCTAAAATAGGCGAATTCAAAACATGTAACTATGATTTATGATTTATGATTTATTATCGGAATCGAAAACAAGTAACACAATGAAAAGTAATTAGGAATAACTATCTAGGTGGTTGACGACAACTGTGTGCAGTGTCCTTTTCACGGATGGGTGTTCTCCGGAGAAACAGGCAAATGTACACGAATACCGTACGATAACGGGACGATTCCTGAACAAGCAAAAGTACGTCGATTATTTTTGAGGTTCTAGTTTAGGTTATAGTGTATATGGTATGAATAAATTGTGTGTATGAATAAAAGTGAAATTTTCAGGTAGCTGTCTGGCCAGTCTTAGAAAGAAATCAGCACATCTATGTATGGTGAGAGCTATTGTGTCCATCTTCCATCGAGCTTCTAACTGTAATGCTACCCAGGTCTCAGGTATCATTGCGACGGAAATGAACCTGAATGGGAAATACCGGAAATCGATGAGATAACCAGTGGGGAGTGGACGTACGGTGGACGCACCGAACACGAAATTATGTGCCATTGTCAGGAGATTCCCGAAAATGGCGCCGATATCGCACATCTCAATTACTTGCACTTGACTGGACCAAACAGAGGTTGGGACCTTGGATTTGGTTGCATAACTCAATAAGTTTATACATTTTCTACTGCTGAATATAATATTGAGTAAAACTGATTCACAACATGGGAAACGCTATAATCGTTGCCGGTGATGGCACGAGCGAAGTGTATATCCACCGTTTTGGCTCCGAACGCTATCACGTGCGTCGCACTGGGTTGCATCTCTAGACGGGGCAACCAATTTTCAGCCTTGACTGCGCTTACCAGGGTGCATACTCGGCCCTCCATGAGATTGAGTTCACCACTCTCGTGGCTTTGACAGTCTCCGGAATGTCTCAAAAGTGCTTTGCGAATTTTAAGCTTCAGCTCTGCCCGCACCGCCCACAAAGGCTTTAGATTCCTGTCCCGCGCCAGCTTCTATCCTTTTTTTCCCAGTATTGAGGCTTTCTAGGAATTGAAACATAAGGTTTCTGTTTCGGATGCTGTCAACCGCTTACCTTCACTAGCTTCGACCTCTCCTTCTTTGCTAGCCCACGTTCCCTTCCCCACTTCTTCCTTGGTAGTTTGGGAGCTGGACTACGAGGGTTTGTAAAGTCCTATTTTCGGTGATCGAGCTGGTGCCTTCTACGTTTGAAAAGGGATTTAGAGGTGCGAAGAGGACCGTTTGTGAGGTAAAAGTAGTGCAACCATAGATATACACTGCGACGCATAATCTTAGTTCCACCTACAAATTTCCCAAAAACTTAGAATTTGGAGATGTTTTTGAAAAAGGCTCTACAGACAAATTGTGACACATGCAAATGCGAATCTGAATATTATCACGGAAATCCAGTTTGAGAAAGCAAAATTTTTTATCCTCATTTTTTCGAAAATTTGCCTATGACGCAAAATCATAGTTCCACCACATGTTTCTCTGCTGCATTTTGCTTTTACCCAATCAAAATTTTGAAATTATTACCACTCAAGTCCCTTAGCTTATAGCAAAGGCAAAACCGCTGTCGAACTTCCGTAAAAGGAAAACCCTAGCAAAAGAGACGCAGCAGTTGTTGAAGTGTCAGCTCACGCTAGAATTTGTCGGGGTGGCTTCATAACGAACAAGTTTCTCAAGGATGCTACAGGATATGATTCTGGGAAGAACCCTGATTACTATCCGACCGAGATAAGCGCCGTATCGTGAGAAAATAATACGACTTTATCCAGACGGGTACGGAAATCAAAACTTCTTCAAAAGTTAGTGTCTCAATGGAAGCAGTTTCACGTGTTTTACAACACGCTCGTGACAGTCCATGTCTGGAGGATAAGAAATACGCTTTCAGTGAGAAGAAATCAGAGAGAAAAACGAGCCATTTTTCTTTGAAAGCTCAGCCAGTTCGAGTGAAGCGGTGGCATTCTTTCATTTGCGACTTTTGATTTGCGTCTTTCTTTCTCTTAACGTTTTTCTTTCTCAGATCGGTTTTCTACTTCGTAGCACACATGTATGGTCAAACGTGGTCCGGTTTAGTGACACAGTGCTAGTAGACGAGGGAATACGTGAAGAAGCACTGTACGAGCGGACACACCGCGATCACTGCGAAGGGGTTAAAGTGGAAGCGGTCGCAGCGGTCACTGCAAGCAAGGCCTTTCGCACACTTCGAATCTCGGGATGACACGACTGCTGTGTTTAGGGATCTGCCATGTCAATCATGGAGAGGATCGCTCGAAGGACTTAATCGCGACCTGTGACTTAACAAAACGCTCTGCCCATTAAGGACGGGCTTCTGCTCACCTAAGGCATGCGTCGTGCTACCCATGCATTGTCATCCCTAACAAGTTTTTATGGTGTTCGGGTCATTTCATAGCTGATTTATGCAATGTTCGTAAGCACCGCCCATTTAAAAAAATGCTGCTCGTCCACCACCCTGCTGCTTATCCCATACTTTTTCCCGGTATCTGAGCGGTTCTGAGAACTAAATGGGAGTTTGCTATTTCAGCACCGCACATTTGGATGCGTGGCATACCCACAGTGGGTTGGATTTTGCGGCATAGCATGTGTGCCCCTTTCGTCCCGTTCCATGCTCTGCGCATCTAATTTTGACCCCGCCTCTTCATGTTATTCTTGAGGTAATGCACAATTTTGTGGCAAACAAACATATTGCATCAGCCAGGCATATCGCTTTTTTGTAGGGAGTAGGAATGGTTAGGCTACATGCCGCGCAACCAGTCGCGCGCGACTGTAGAAGGCCGATGTACAACTTCGCGAGTCGCTCAATTCGCTAGCGTACGCGGTCGCGTTACAGT